AATCTTCAATACCTGGCATGAAACGCCATGAGCTTTGAATGTCCAGTAAACGCACACACACCCCGTCCCTTTTTCCCAATCCAATACATCATCACATTTATAGCAAGCAAGTAGTGAAGCATGATATTCAAGTCAATAACAACAATTTCAGTAATAGAGAAAAGGAACATGTCATTCAAATAGATAACAAAGGTTATAATGTTAGTGGTTAGTATTCTAGAAATCCCCCAAAGAGATTTCATCCTCCCAACCACAAGAATTGGACACCGGACTATTCGGAACTCCCCCTTTTGCTACTTTGTTGCAGAACTAACCTCGGATGCCTACCAACGGTTATATACTGCATAGCACCAACCGCAGGGCCTCAAAAGGGACAGCGAAAAGAAAAAGGTTTTATCTCCTGAATCCAACCTTATCCTTCCAAAAAAGTTTTATCATCCTAAATGTCCCATCTGAACCCAACCTTATCTCACCAATCAAACCATCGCAAAGAGTCCGAATACGTCCATTCCATTCTAGGGTTTACGCGACAATTGCTTGCACAAGACATAAACTTCAATTAAGGAGCACATCCCATCAATCCATACATAACATATTATCATCTCTTCTTTATTCAAGTGATCGAAAACCCAATACCATCCCAATTAAGTTTTCCGTTTGGATCAATGTTTTAAGTCAAGTTAGAACAAACTCAATAAGATAGTAATATCTATATAAGCATGAGCATCATTAAAATGAAGAAGATAAGGAACATAACCATAACACATGCAATATCATACCAAGACATGATCATAAACTAATAAGCATATTCATGAACACAAGAGTATAAAACACTCATGCAAAACTAAATTTTCAGATTCAATATCATTTAAAGATTAAAATCAAAAGGGCTATTTCAGATATTTCCCGCACCTAGCCTTCGTATGGTTCGTAGAGATTTCAATCTAGTTTTCAGAACATGTTTCGAAAATGTGATAGCTTTTCTAGATTTTTAGTTATTTAAGAAATGCTCCAGCGCTGTCCAGATTCGTCGATCGTTACGAAAATCAGATTTCTCACAAACCGCTCACTCGTTTTCAATGAAACTAATTTTAGTTGAAAGATAACTCCTTAAGGAAGATGTTTACATAAAATGAAGGTCCAGAAGATTTTTATGCATTTTTCTAGAATTTTTGAAAGTTGATTGTAAAATAGATTTTTTTGGCATAGTTCTTGAAAATAGAAAGTTGATAAGAAAAGAGGTCGGCTAGGGGAAATTTTTCACTTCTCTTGTGATGAAAACATGATAAATAATATGTATTAAACTCAGAAATTTAAGGTGAAGGTGTGCCTTTGAAAAATTTGAAAGTTTGATATGGAAAAAGGTAGTCTTATACCGATTAAGAGAAATACAAGAATGGTAGAATCAAGGCTCAACTCGTTTCATTTTTAACATGGGAATACTATCAAAACAAATTTGAAATGAATGTTTAAAACTTCTAAGAGCATGTATTTGAAAAAGGAAAAAAAAAAAAAAAAAAGAGAGTTGTGTTGTGGCTTACTTGGTAGGCTAGGCCAAGTTGAACAAGATTGCCCTCCTCTTCCTTCCTCTCCCTCTCAAGACTTTTCTCTTGCTCTCCTTTCTCTCCTCTAGGCCGAATGTAGGTGTGTGTGTGTGTGTGTGTGTGTGTGTGTGTGTGTGTGTGTGCTGTTTGTGTATGCTATGCTAAGTGGGTGGTTGTATATATAGGCAAATTTGGTATGAAAAGACACAAAGACCCATTAGTTGGAATTGGTTTGAAAAGTTTGGATTTACTTGGAGTTTAATGGAATAGGGAGTGATTAGGGGACTTAATTATGTGATTAGACAAGATTTAGTTGGCCTCTAGTTGGAATGAAACTAGGTTGGGAACATAACCCTTGTACTTGGTACTTTGCTTCTAAAATGTCATAATTACAAGTCTTGAAAATTGGTCCCTCACACTCTCCTAGGTTGGCCGGCCATGGGGAAGAGAAATGGGGAATATTTTATTCAATTTTTGAGTACTATGAACATATTCCCAATGTATATAGATAGATCCACAAATTGATTTGATGGTACTATAGTATAAAAGAAGTGAGGGTTTGAAATTAAACTCATGTATTGGAACCTTATTTGTGTATTTAATTATGATCTAGTTAGGTTTAGGGCTAATTTAAATACCTTCTAGTTAGAAGTACACTCATAGCAAATCTTTATAGATACCAAGGTCATTATTGCTCCAAGATTTCAAGGGATTTGTTTGTACTAAAGTACGATGATTATAGCCTAGGAGGTATGATGGCTAGCCACGTGCTCAAGATTTGGGGAGATTTTCCTATTTATTTTGTGTACAAATTCCATAAATATTGTGTACAAAAAGATTTGATGAATAAGAGGTACAAATATATATATATATATACAATGGTACTAACTTGGGGTCAATTTGTGATTTAAGTAAAATATGAGGGCTAAGGCCTTAATTTATGAATTGGAACATTTATTTTAGAATAGAATTTAACTAAGCTAGAGTTAGAGAATCTAATTTGGTTTGAATTTCTTATTTCGAACAAAAACGCGATCAACCGACGAACGTGATAAAGACCGGAAAAAAACCTAGGGTTTTCAAGTGGTAATTTCATATTTAGGGAGTCAATTAGAGTATTTGAAATTATTTCCAAGTTTTCGAAATCGATTAGGGTTTGTGGGTTTCAGTCGGTGTATGTATTTTGATCCTAGGGTTAAAATTGTAATTAATTAAGAAGTTTAGTGATTTCAAAGAAATAATTTAAAAGTAAGGGACCTAATAGGGTTTACAAAAGTTAGGGGTCTCAACAAAAGTTTCAAATTGATCAAGTCAATAACCAAACAAACTTTAAATATAATATAAGGTGAAAAAATTTCAAGTAAACAAGGTTCAAACATTTCACTTCTGCTTGTTCTTCTTCTTCTTTTTCGGATCAGTAAAGAGAAGAATTTATTGAAGTTAGAAAAACTTGTGCAATGGAAAGAGCTACATCTTGAGAAGGAAATCAATACCATTAAGGGTAAAAGAACTCCGGACAGCCCAATGTAAAAATATAACAAAGAAACTAAAAAAAGTTACCTACATCAAACACTCCCCTTATGGGAATGCATATCATTCTTCATTGAACCACCATAATACAGCTAAGTGACTCTCCTTGAGGTCATCTTTTTTTTTTTGGCTATGATGATCTGACACCATCAATCACAATCAGAATTCAACAAAATTAATGCAAAAAATTTATCCAAAATGACATGATAGTAACTTTATTGAATATATGAAGATCAATCTTTAGCTTTAAATGACAAAATCATAAAAATTCATATGATTTGTTCATATATTAAACATCATCTTTGTAATTTTTAATAAATTATAGACACATACATTAAGGCTTGGTTTGGCATAAGCAAAAAAAGTCAAAAAGTCACTATCCTATTGAAGTCACATCATCTTATTTAAGTCACATCACTTCTCTACCACATCACTTCAAACCCAACCCATACCCAACCCATATTTCATAAAAAATCAAAAAGTGTACTTATTTAGTTTATCCCAAACAACCTCTAAATTTTGAAAAAAACCCTAAAGCAACGATGTCAGAAAATGAAAAAATAGAGAAAGGGAGGGAGAGAGAGAGAGAGCGCGACAGAGATTGACAGAGACTGTGAGTGAGAGAGGTCAAGCAAGAGAGAGAGAAGCCTGCAATACGTGTACAAAGCATTATATATACAGAGACACACACATATTAAACATCATCTTTGAAATTTTTAATCAATTACAGCCACATATTTAAATGAACCCTGCAGTAATAATGTTAGAAAAGGGGGAAACAGAGAAAGGGAGAAAGAGACAGATAGACAAACAAACTCTATGAGAGAGCTCGAGCAAGAGACGGACACACAGACAGACCGCGAGAGAAAGAGAGAGAGAGAGAGAGAACGAACCTGTGATGTGCGGCTGTGACGATAGTGATTTGCGCCAGTGGCAATGGCGATGGCGATGGCGGTGGCGGTGGTCGTCGCAATGTTACTCCGTATAATAGGCTACGATGAGAGGGGTGATTTTTGTGAGGTTTGGTGAGGTCTGTGTGTCATACATTGTTGTGAAGTTGTGTTGCCTTACAGAGATCGACGCGCGCGCAACAATAAAAGAATTGGCACGCGTTGAAATTTCAACATTTAGTGATTAATTTGACTTTGGTCGGGAAAGGAATGAATTATGCCGACTAACTGCTTTTGTAGCCAAATATCACTCAACAGTGATGAAAATCTTAGTCACCAAACGTCCTCTTTCGCGACTAATTTATATTTTAGTCGGGAAACAGCAATAAAATCCCGATTAAATTTATTTTTTATGGCCTAAAATCTATACTAACGGCGACTAATATCCTGTTTAGTCGCTAAAAGTTGAAATTTTACCGACTAAATTTGAAATTAATCGCCAATAATAAATTTTTATCGACTAAAATATTTTAGTAGTGAGATCTTGAACCAACGCCAACAAAATTAATTTTTAGTCACCAAAAATTATACTTTTGGCGACCAAAAATCTTTTAGTTGCCAAAGGTGCATTTTGTTGTAGTGTTAGGAGTAAAAACTATTTTGATTAGTATTTTGCTTTAAAATAGAAGGTCTCGATTTAACCATGTCATGCTCAACAAAAAATCTGGGAAATTTTTTTTTTTTTTTTCTTCTACAGCATTGCCCTTCTTGAAAAATAAAAAATAAAAAAATGTAATGATATGTTTTGTTCAAGTGTTCGTTTTATTCTAATTCTTATTATTTTTTTAAAAATGATATGTTCCTTATTGTTAAGCAAACACATGGCTACGCAGTATTTGAGGAACTCCAGATAGATAGCTTCTCCTTAGGCACAATTTTAGTATGTTAGCCAAATTAGACTTTTTCATAATTGGTTTTTCTAAAAATTCTCTTAACCAAACCATTATTACTATAAAAGGAGGGGCGTTGAGAGCCAGACCAAATAAAGCAGCAAATAAAGAGCAAGAGGCCATTGGAGAAAAAAGCTTCAATGGCAACCTTGCTCAAGTCCCTTTTCCTTATCTCTCTCCTATTTTTTTCGGCAACAGCATACCCTTTCTTTATCGAAGATCCAGACCCCACCGATGACAATTTAGATGCGGTGATTACAGGCAGAGGATATGGAGGAGGACTCCCCAGTGATAACAACAATGGAGGAGGATATGGAGGAGGACTTCCCATTGATAACAACAATGGAGGAGGATATGGAGGAGGACTTCCCATTGATAACAACAATTTAGGAGGACAACTCCCCAGTGATGACAACAATGGAGGAGGACAACTCCCCGGCGATACCAACAATGGAGATGAGCAAGAGCAAGAGCAAAAGCAACTTCCAAAGGGAGGCAAAAATGGAGGTAATGAAGGCAGTGGAGTCAATAAGGGAGGCAATGGAGTCAAGAAACCGAATTTCGAGACAAAATACCTCGGAGAGTGGAAGATAGACAATCCGAATTCTGGTGTGTCGAGCATGCAACTACAGTTGCTTCCAAACAACAAAGTTATCATGTTTGATGCCACCAGCCTCGGACCATCCAACATTCAGTTGCAGCCTGCCGGAAACTGTCGCCCCGTACCCAACAAGACCGACGAATATGACTGTTGGGCTCATGCTGTTGAATATGACATTGAGACTTCTAAAGTTCGGACCCTTAAGGTATGGTTTTTTTTCAACTTGAACCTCTTAGCATTCATTTCATGCAAAAACCATGCATTTATTTACGTAAAACCGTAAAAATATGCATACAAGTCTTGATTTAAATATCAGTATGGAATTATGCATCAATATTGATAATAGAGCTATATATCAGTCAATATCCAATAATATAAAAAAATTTACATGTTTATTGTGTTTGTTTTATTTTTAGAGAGAAATTTCTCTTCAGTCATCCACATAAGCATATTGTTGAGTTCGTAGGGCTCACCACGGATTCCGTTTTAATGATTTGAATTTTTCAACGTGTAAAACTCGTTAAGTGCTTTATACTTGGAAAAAATCACATTGATCAGATATCCGATATCCGATCAACGTGATTTTTTAGAAGTATAATATGCTCGACGAGTTCTACACATTGAACGATTCAGATTATCAAAACGAAAATCATAATGGGCCCCACAGGCACAATCTCTTATTTTTAAAACGGACAAAATCCTCTCCATTATGTAATTGTAATAAAAGATTTTCATTATTTTGTTTTTTATTTTATTTTTTAACCAATTCTGTTCATATGACTCTTTTAAAATCATTGGATAATATAATAAAATAGAAATCTTTTCTTACAACTAAGTATCTAGATTAAGGTAATGATATTTTATCTCTAAATATGAAATTTATGGTATAGATTTAAATTTTAATGATGGATCAAAAATCATAATGAATCTTATACTTAAATATCAAACTCGATGTGTTATTTTATTTTTATTTTTATTTTTATTTTTGTAACAGGTTTTAACAAATGCATGGTGCTCATCCGGAGGTCTGGCAGCAGATGGAACCTTAATAAACACAGGAGGGTTTCAAGACGGTGGAAGGGCCGTCAGACAAATGGGTACATGCGATGGTTGCGACTGGGTAGAAAACCCTGCTTTACTCGCTGGCTTTTCAAGATGGTAAATCCCCTCGACGACCAATGTAATTTTAAAATGAGATTGTCTAATTTTTTAAACACAAACATACATGATGAATATGACTATATTTATTAAATTAATTTGATTTTTTTATGAATAATCTATATATATATATATATATAAACGAACAAAATGAACAATCAGATCATCGAAATAATAGTGGTTGTCATATACCAGCAAAATACTATTTATTTATTTTTTTGGTGAAATAAATACTAAAATTTTTCAATGTTTAAAAACTTTTTTTTTAAACCAACGGGTGGGTTGGTTTTTGGCCATAAGTTTTTTTGCCAAAACTTTCATTTTTCTTTTTATCAGCAAATAAAAATTTTATTGATAAAAAATATAGTACCCAGTACAAAACAAGATCATCAATAAGTGCAAAAACTATCATAATAAGCAAGATTATCCCAACTATGTTGGCCTAAAAATGTGCCCCCTATCATTTGCTAGTACCCTCAAGTTGATGAGCAAAAAATCAACCAAAACTTTCAATTGCTAGCAACATCTTACCGGAAACCACCTCTCCTTTCTCACTTATTTTCAAAATTAAATTTTTGAATACACATTTATCAAACATTTGCTATCAGTTTGGTTGAGTTTTATAATTTGTTTACTTAAAACTTACTTATTATCATAAAGTTTTGAAAATTGAACCAAAATTTCTTTGTTTTTATCAAAAATAAACAAGAACATGGTGAATGTTCTCTCTAAATAAAAAGGTAAAATGTAAAAGTTGGGAAAATGACAGCTATAAATATGCTAAATACAAGAAACAGAATTTATATGCACAATTAAAATTATTTGTTATCTTGTGATTTATTCATTTGCAGTGAAAAAACTGGGTAATGGGTATTATAAATTTTGTACAAAAAATCTATAAACATATGATTTTAGGTATTCAACTCAAGAGAAGTTAGAAGATGGTAGCTTCATCCTTTTCGGTGGAAGAAGAGAATTCAGCTACGAAATCGTACAAACCACACTCAATTACCAGTCCAAGAAGATTGACTTCCCATTCCTCAAAGAAACCACCGATAAATACGAGAACAATCTCTACCCCTTTGCCTACCTTCTCCCGGACACCACAGTCTTCCTCCTGGCCAACAACCGCTCCATCATCATGGATCCCAAATCAGGCAAGATCATCCGCGAACTCCCCGTTCTTCCCAACGGCTCTCGCAACTACCCTGCCTCCGCCATGTCCGCCCTCCTCCCCTTGAAAATCTCCGGCGACACCCCCGACTTACTCGACGCCGAGGTCTTGGTTTGCGGTGGTGCCAAGCCCGATGGCATGGAGATCGCTGGGAAAGGCCGCTTTATTCCCGCCTTGCAAGATTGCAATCGGATTGTTGCCACAAAACCAGGTATGTGCATGCATACGGAAGAAAGTCAATTTAAAAAGTGATTATCCTATTTAAGTTATGTCATCTGATTTATGTGATATCATTTTTTTATTAAATCACTTCAAACTTAATCCATATCTAACTCATATTTTATAAAAAATCAAAAAATACACTTACTTAAAATATAATAAAACAACCCCTCACTTACTAAGAGCATCTCCAATGCACTAAACATATAATACTTGTTAGTTAAAATGCCTAGTGTGATTCACTTTTTTCAATTCCAATGCACTAGGCATATGATTAGGCATTTTGGCTCAACTCATATTCACTAGCTACATATAGCTAGCCTTCAACGCTAGGTAAAATGTATTCAATCATTAAGATCGTTTCCCTCCATCTTTATTGTTGACGTGACATTCTATAAAATTAATAGTATTTGGATAAATAGCTAAAATAAAGAGCATGGTTGGAGTAAAAACATAAAACAGTTGATAGGTAAAATAAATATATACTTTATAGTAATATTTAAATAGGTAAAATGCCTACTACCGTTGAAAATGCTCTAATCATTTCTTACCTTATACAATTTTCATATTTTAAATTTTCTATTACTACATCTTTTTTCTATCATTTTTACTTTTTACGTCAATAAAAAATTGATATTATACTTTGTACTTCCTTTTTAAAATTTCTATCGTCATCGTCGTCCATGCAGGTGCCAAGTGGGAGGTCGATCAACTGCCAGCCCGACGAGTGATGGGAGACATGCTTATCCTCCCCAACGCGGACTTGCTCATTCTCAACGGTGCAATGGACGGAGTGGCCGGGTGGAACATGGCCGAAACACCTATCCTAACACCACATGTTTACAGTCCAGATAAGCCACTCGGACAGCGATTCAAGGCCATGAACCCCAGCACAATTCCTCGCATGTACCACTCCTCCTCTGCAGTGTTGCCCGACGGCAAGATCTTAGTCGCCGGAAGCAACACGAACCCTATGTATTTATACAAAGTTGGCCCCAAAGTCAAGTACCCAACCGAATTGAGAGTCGAGAAATTCACACCATATTACTTAGATCCAGCTTTGGATGCTCATCGACCAGAGATCACTGAAGCTGCATCTGATAATAAATTGAGTTATGGGCAGAGATTCAATGTGGTGATTAAGCTTAATGATGAGGTTGAGCCTGAGGATATCAAAGTCACCATGCTAGCACCGCCATTCACCACCCACGGCTACTCGCAGAACCAAAGAATGTTGGTTTTGGATGCGGTTGATGTTGTCAACGGCCAGCTCACGGTGGTTGCGCCGCCCTCGGGTGCGGTTGCGCCGCCTGGCTACTATCTTCTCTTCGTCGTTCATCGTGGCGTGCCCAGTCGCGGAATTTGGGTTCAAATTCAGTAGATGATTTGGGGTTCACTAGGACATATCACTTACACTTACTTTAAATAAAATAAATAAATAAATAAAGGTAAAAACACGAGGATTTTTTTTCCTTTCTGTTTTTTATTTATTTATTTATTTATTTGATTTGTTTTGTTTGAAGTTGTACGACAATAAATGTGTTGATGCAATTGAGTTCTTTCAAATGTTGTTTGAGGGAGGCCTTGGATCGATTAATTTTGTAACATTTCTTAATACTTACAATTAGATGATATAAACATTATACGGATGAAAATGCGTCTCTTCCATTTAACTATGGATAGAAACAGTTCGACATACTATACTTGTTAGTCAAAATATTTAATATGACTTTTTTTTTTAATTATATATGATTAGGTATTTTAATTCAACTTACATTCACTAGTTACATGTAGTTAGTCTTTAAGACTAGGCAAAATATATTTAATCATTAGGATCATTTCCCTCTATCTTTATTGATGATGTGCCATTTTATAAAGTTAATAGTATTTTAATGAATAGCTAAAGAGAAAAGTTAGAGATCATAAAAAAAATTTCATGAAAATAATTATGAAAGAGTTATAATCCTTGGATTACCTTGATTAGTGTGTGGTGCTTTGTTCTAAGTGTAATACAAGGGTCACAAAACTTTTATGATTATTTGCAAGAAAAGTTTTTCATGATACCTAGCATTGCTGATAGCTAAAATACAGAACATGGTTGGAGTAGAAACATGAAACAGCTGATAAGCAAAATAAAATGTATACTTTATAGTAATGTTTAGATAGGTAAAATGCCGTTGGAGATGATCTTACATCGACAATTTTTTAAATTAAATATTGGGTAGGAGATTTTTGTGTGGGTCTAATTATGAATTTTTAAAAAGGACGGACTTCTCTTAAATTGGTCATTTTAATTTTAAAGAGTATTTGTGTTTGATAAGCTCATTTTGGAATCGATTTTCGTAATCCGAACTGATCACTTTTTAAGAATTTTTTAATAGGATATCCATGTAAAAAATTAAAATAATTGAATATCGGTAATTATATGTTTGAATAACATTTGTATTAAAAAAAATGAATTGTTATTTTTGAAATTATATTTATTGTCTATTTTTTAAAAACAAATATAATTCAAACATATAGGTCTCATTTGGTTCTATTTTCAAATTGTTATTCTAATCAAAAAAATTTAAAACTCTTTTCAAAATTCATAACCAAATACACAAATTCAAAACTCAATTAAAAAATTATTTTCAAAACTCATAACCAAACACATAATTCAAAACTCATAGCCAAAATCTTTTTAAAACTCTATTTTAAAAATCAAATTTTTTTATTTTTTTTATTTTTTAGAATCATGATTTAAGTATGGAGTTGTATTTTGAGTTATGAGTTTCAAGTTAAGTTTTGAAAAGAGAATTTAGTGAATTTTTAAAAGATTTTTTTTACAATTTTTTTACTTTTTAGGTGTATTTATGTTAGGTGTGTCTAAAAAGTAAAAAAAATTCTTAAAATATTTAAAAAATTCAGTAAAAACAAAAAACACGGAAAATAAGAAAGTAGAATTTTCTGAAAAGTATTTTTTGAAAAGTGAAAACAAGCAAGGTGATTTATGTTTGATAAGCTCGTTTTAGAATCGATTTTCATAATCCGAACTGATCACTTTTTAAGATTTTTTTAATAGAATATCCATGTAAAAAATTAAAATAATTGGATATTGATAATTATATGTTTGAATAACATTTGTATTAAAAAAAATGAATTGTTATTTTTGAAATTATATTTATTGTCTATTTTTAAAAACAAATATAATTCAAACATATAGGTCTCATTTGGTTCTATTTTCAAATTGTTATTCTAATCAAAAAAATTTAAAACTCTTTTCAAAATTCATAACCAAATACACAAATTCAAAACTCAATTAAAAAATTATTTTCAAAACTCATAACCAAACACATAATTCAAAACTCATAGCCAAAATCTTTTTAAAACTCTATTTTAAAAATCAAATTTTTTTATTTTTTTTATTTTTTAGAATCATGATTTAAGTATGGAGTTGTATTTTGAGTTATGAGTTTCAAGTTAAGTTTTGAAAAGAGAAAATTTGTTTGATTATGAATTTTGAAAAATATTTTAAATTGTATTTTTTTAATGTGCACTGTACTTCATACAATTTTGCACTGTATTTTTTTAAAATATTTGAGTTTCATTTTTTAAAATATTTAAAATTTAAAAAGAATTATTTTAAATATATGATTTTAATTTTAAATAACAAAAAAAATTGAAAAAATAAAAAATAATAAAAAAATATTTTTCAAAAAAATATATAGTTAAAAATAATTTTAAAGAACAAAATAAAAATTATTTTTTTGAATTTTTTTAATAGAATTTTGAAAAGAGTTTGGTTATAAGTTTTGAAAAAAAAAATTAAATTGAATTTTGAATTATGTGTTTGGTTATAAATTTTGAAAATAATTTTTGAATTGAGTTTTAAGTTATGTGTTTGGTTATGATTTGAGTGTAGAGTTATGTTTTGAGTTTAAAATATATACAAATGTTTTTAAATAAAAAATATATTTAAAATAAGAAAACAAAATTTTCTTAAGCATTTTTAAATTTTTAAAAATAAATAAATCTAAAAAATTTTAAAATACAACTCAAAATTTAAAAACTCAAAACTCAAAACTCAAAATACAATTCAAAACTCTTTTCAAAATTTAAAATTCAAAAACTCTAATTCTTTTCAAAACTCATAACCAAAAAATTTTTCTCTTTTCAAAACTAACTCACAACTCCACACTTAAATTACAACTCCACACTCAAATCACAATTCTAAAATTAAACTAAACAGAGCCATAGTTACCGATATCCAATCATCTTTATTTTTTGTATGAATACTCAATGAGTCTTAAAAAGTGAATAATATATATCATTAAAATTGATCTCAAAATAGGCTTACCAAATCCAAACGCTCTGAAACCAAATCCTTTGCAAAAACAATATTCATTTACCAAAAGTAATGACGTGAGAATCGTTTGTTGTTTGGATCTAATTTGGAGTTGGGATTCAATGTTGTGATTAGTTTTATCAATTCATTGTCTAGATTGGTCCAATACAATATATTTACGCCTATTTTGAGTAGTGATTTTTTTTTTTTTTTTGAACTTATTGACTTATTATAAAAAAAAACATGTAAAAAAATAAAGAGATGATATAATCCAAATAAACCAAAAAGTTAGAACAACTAATAGGTTTAATCTTCCAATTATTTGTGCCACAAATGTAATGGAAAGGCTAAGATGGACCAATTGAGAAGTGGGGAACTTATTTGAACGAAAATTTAATTTAGAAGCCTAATAATAAAATATAAAAATAAAACGTATGCAAATCACTAATTCAATTATTTAAAGAAAGTAAAAGAGAAATTTGATTAGCACACAAAGCTTAGTTTTTAATGGATTTTTTCCAAACATTAATCTAAAAGACTCAAGATTTTTTTGTCTCAAAAGAGTCTATATGCTTTTTTTAAGCACTCGTAATTTACCCCAAAAAAAAAAATAATGCCATCATGAGTACATGAGATAGATTCATTTCATTTCTGTCAATTATTTATTTATTTATTTTTTTTTTTTTTATCGCCGCCGGGGGAGGGCTTATCTAGGTAGAATAGCGAAACTATTCGCCTTTCTTTGTGATACCAATAAAATAAAATAAAAATCACATCAAAGTGCATCAATTATCCCTGGATAGAGATTATTTTACGAATAGAGAATTCCGTCCTAACTACAATAGTTTTTAAAAAAAAAATCAATACAGCATTGAGGTATAAAAATGAATTCCTTTAGAAATGTGGGATATGTAGATACACGTGTGTATATATATACACACATATGAGGTACAACCCATGAAAGCAACATTTGTGATGATTGGATTTCACAAATGAGAGAAGATGAGAAATATAGCCAGTGAAGTGCAGTGCATGTAAGTACAAAAAAGTGGGAAGAGGAACCTGTCTCAGCTGGGATTTGTAGGATGTGTAACCAAACATATCTTCAGGTCTGCACGTCTACTAACAACCAAACATCCCCATAAACTTTTAAAACTGGTGTGGTGTCTTCTTATATATAGGAAAATGGCATATATAATAAGAGAAAAGATAGGGATCATGAAAAAATTTTCATGAAACTGGTCATGAAAAATTTATGACCATTGGCTTACCTTGATTAGTGTGTGGTGTTTTATTTTAAGTGTAATCATAGATCTTTCATGATCATTTTCATGAAAGTTTTTTCATGATACCTAACATTGCTCATATAATAATATCATTAGTCTCGCACACGTTCATTCCCATTTCTCATTCACCCTCCAAACATAATTTTAACATTCCTATTATGTAATTCTAATCATAGTACTAAATTTTCAGTCCAACAAAGCAAATTTTTTATAATTGTTTGGAGAGCAATAAAAGAAACAAAAAAAAAAACTACACTAGTAATAGTAAGATTCGATCTTAGGTACCATACCTACAAAGAAAATATATTATAAATCACTGCATGCCATAACATTGGCTTATGATTTGTATAAAATTCTTGTTTGTATAGCATTGTTCTTTACAAATTTTATCCTTTAAAATAAAATTTAAAAAAAAAAATTAGCTACTACTAGACTAGAAGGACGTTAAAATTTTATCAAAAAATATTAAACAAACTTGGAAATGGATTTTGTTAATGAGTGCCTTTGGAATAAACATATTTGAAATGGTTGTATATTTTTTTATGAAAGTATGTGTCGTGTCATAAAGAATACATATAACTATTTTAAGTTTTATTAACCGATGTCTTATAGCACTCGTAAACAAACCTATTGAAAAAAGTTTACTAATCAAAATTTAATAATAAAAAAATTTTAAAAGAAAAAGAAAAACCACTTGACAACCGCAACCTAACAAGGCCTTGGTCATCAAATATGGCTAGGACATGTTTCCTCAATATAGTAACATGTATTTAAACTTAATTCTCAAAAGAATAATGCAAGAATGTCAAGAACCATGAAGCGTTAAAATATTGAGAAACAGCCTGGAAAATAAAAAATGATCAACATACAGTTCACGTTAGAAAGGTGCATTTGCTGATATAAACTATATAAAGCAATCAAAAACCAGCAAGAAAAGCATCCCATTTCAACTCCGTAAGAGTGGAAAAGCATATAAGAGGAATTGCTGACATTGAGGTTGAAATGGCAAGTTCACAAGCACTGTTCCTAGCCGTATTCATATCAGCAATTGCATTTTATTCAAGATCAGCAGATGCCAACTTTGGCCAGAGCATGTATTTCAACTGGGGTTCTCAGCATTCTTGGATGGGGAACTATGGCAACGATCTTCAACTTGTTTTGGATCGAACTTCAGGTAATAACCGTCCACAACTGATTTACATGTTTTTGGGTATCAATGCTTTCGCTATTTGATGTCAGTTTTGATTCCATATCCAGCAAATAACAAAAAAAATGGAAATGAAAACATATGTTTTATAAAGTAGCATATTTCTGCAACTATTTCACTTGTAAGAACATACTGTGAAAGATAGTAATGCTGTATATTCTTGTCATAGAAACAGACAGTTCAAAGTAGTTAATTCTGTTACAGCTATAATAGGTATCAAACCATTCTATTTAGGACGAAAGATACATCAGGTCATACAAGTCATACAATCAATCTTTGGGTTATAATAAGCAACACAACAAACAGACTGTATCAAACCAAACTAAGCCTTGTGTCCCAAGCAACTGGGGTTGGCTACATAAATCATTTTCCGTCATTCTGCTCTATCAAGGCTATTTGCTCAGTTACAATAAATAGATTCAAATCTTTTTTCATTGCTGCATCCCAAAACTCAACGTTGCTTCTTTAAACATTTTATCCATAAATATATTTTAATTTTTCACCTTTTAGATTTCATCATCTAATTCGCAAGTTTTTTAAACCTTTCTGGTTTAATTTTGCCTTTTAATGTACATATCTAGTATTATTAGTCTATGTTGTGATCTTAGACCGTCTTCGGGAATGACCTTACAATCGTTACATATCAAGCGATCTGTCCAAACATGAGAAGATCTGATGAATGCCCATAAAGGAGTGGACATTGTAAATCAAATTTATGGGATGAGTTTTAATCAATGATGACTAAAATAACTTTGAGGACCCCAGAAAACCGATAAGTTTACTAGAGGAATTATTCCCAATTAGGGGTTTTGAATCTCCAAGCATGTTCAAGTTATTAATTCAAATTTTAAACTTGTCTTGGTATTTAGCTATAAATAGACTACTATGGTTTTCAGGTTCTGGTGTCCAAACAAAGAATGCATATCTATTTGGAAGCATTGAAATGCTAATCAAGTTGGTACCGGGGAACTCTGCTGGAACTGTCACAGCCTATTATGTAAGTGTTACAGTTTCTTCAACGTACGAACCCCATAAAAGATGGATGTTTCCTTTTCAATTTCTTTCTAACTACGGGTGTTTTCAAACATTTCATTGTTTTTGTTTCCAAAAACACAAACCAAACAGTCGCAATGTCTTCCACCTCTATAAATGCATGCATGATGTGGCTTAGGTACACCTATATATGTTTTAATCTCACCCTATGCTCATGAATACAGCTTGATCAAGTCAAATGCCATGCCTAACAGAGCCCTAGACCCTAACACTAAGCACACTTGAATCACAGAAGAAAAATGGCTAATTCTACTTTTTTAATTGATCGCAGCTGTCCTCGACTGGGAACAAGCATGACGAGATAGACTTCGAGTTCTTGGGAAACTCATCGGGACAACCTTACATTATCCATACAAACATCTTTACGCTCGGAATTGGAAACAGAGAACAGCAATTCCACCCCTGGTTTGACCCAACAGCTGATTTCCACAACTACACCATCCATTGGAACCCAACAGCAGTTGTGTAAGTTAATGGAACACCTGCTTTTCTAAGAAGCACGGACAGACACACGACAAGATAGACAACAATTTTCAAAATATGCAAGATATAACACATGGGAGACACACACAAAGTATATAATTTTATATATCTATTATGTCATAAATATGAATATATAATTCAAAAATATTTTTAAAAAATTATCGTACCACTAATTCCTATAAATTTATATTTTTTTTTATTTTTTTACCATTGTATCCTAAATTATTTTGTTCAAACTTATAATAGTTTCATGTATGTTTAAGCGATGGACATCCCAAGTGTTCGAAGAGTGTTTGAGTCTAAAAAACTAAAAAAATAATATGATACATTTAGACAAGTGTCCAACACGTCTCGATAAGTGTTCGACGAGTGTTTGTGTTTGACACAACCACGACAACTACCTTCTTTTTGGTGTTCATGCTTCTTAGTTAATTTTTTTACATCATAAAACACCATCTTCACCTTTTCTATAGCGTGAAACCGAAATCACTCTACCAAACTAGAGTAGTAGCTAAATTCAATAAACAATAAATTTTTATCGAGCACATATAGTTCAAGCTCATGTTGTTCAACCTAGTCCCTATAATTTTGCAAGACAAGCATTTCCTAATCCCCTGCATTCATTACTATGATTACAGGTGGTATATTGACAGCCTGCCTATTCTAGTATTCAAAAACTACCAAAGTGAGGGAATTCCCTACCCAAACGAACAAGGGATGAAGGTTTACTCAAGCTTATGGAATGCTGATAACTGGGCGACAAGAGGTGGCCTTGTTAAGATCAATTGGAAAAGTGCACCTTTCATAGCAAGATACCGCAATTTTAGGGCAAGGGCATGCACGTGGTATGGGTCATTTAGCATTAGTCAATGTGCCTCCTGGACGCCTGCCAACTGGTATACCTCCCCAACATACAGCCAATTGAGCTACGGTAAGCAAGGTCAGATGAAGTGGGTCAGAGATAACTACATGATTTACGACTACTGCAAAGATACTAAGCGATTCCATGGGCAGATGCCACCTGAATGTTACAAACCACAATACTAACACGAGCATCAACAGTCAAAGGAATAAACCCCACCGTCGTCTCTGAGAGATGAACAATTAGCAGCCCTACATCCTATCATACTTCAAGTTTACAACTGAGAATAAGCCCTTTGATGTGTCTTTGTGTTTCAATCATTATTGTCTTCTTCTTCTTTCACTTTTTTGGAAGAATATTACACATATTTATTTGATTCTTGTATTTTAATTATATGATCGCTGTGTTAAGTATTTCAGGTTCTAGTCTTCACTAAGTATGAACCATATATAGTAGAACAGGGCCGATACATGAAATTAACAATTTTCAGCAGTAGAATTTAGTCAAAAGCACATCTTTTTAGCAAAGACAAGAATTGATCATTGGAAATTACAAATTTTCACAATACAAACCAAAAATCATTGTTACAAAATTGAAAGTCCTGAGCGAATCACGTGATACAAATGAGGACACCAAGCACAATGACTAATACACCAAATAAATCCAACCTTACAGATGTTACAAAACTGGTATCCTTTTCCGATTCCCAATTCTCTAAGCAACCAAACCAGATAGTTTCAAAGCAACAAACAGAGCACAAGCTAACAACATTTCATTCCCTTTGCTTCTCATTTTATCAGCAACCAAACAGGGTGTTTATCCTCAAATAAAAACTAAAAAACGTTGTTACAAATGTAGACAACCATAACAATGAGTAATTAATGTAGCAAACAAAGCCAACGCTAACGCCTAGTTTGGGAAGACTAAATAAGTGCACTTTTTGACTTTTTATGAAATATGGGTTAGGTTTGGGTTGGGTTTGAAGTGATGGGTTAGAGAGATGATGTGACTTAAATAAGATGATGTGACTTAAATAGGATAGTAACTTTTTGACTTTTTATCTTTTTTTAATTATGCCAAACTTGGCCTTGTCCTTTCTTTTTCTTAATCCTATAAGCAAGCAACCAAAGCAGATAGCTGTAAAACCACAAACTAGAGGTCAAAAAAATAAAATCTTCATTCCCTTTTCTTTCACATTCTCTCAGCAACCAAACAGAGTGTCTAAATCCCGAAAATAAACAAGGGTTTGATTAAATAACTCGAACAAAAACCTAAAATCACTGTCACGCTCAGAGTCTGAAGCTAATTACGTGTTATAAACATAGACAGCAAGAAAGAAATGTACCAAACATAGCCAACCCAACATGGGTCTCTTCCGGAACAGCTAGAAGAATGGGGGATTGTCGCTAATGTAAGAAAGTAACGGAGACCGATTGATTCAGCAACAAAGGGACAGGGCACATTGAATAAATAGAAAATAAATAAATAAAAAGGGAGATATATTTTTGTCCCCAATAAATGGATAAATTACATTTACCTCCCTCACGTTTCTGACAAATATAGGTACCTCCCATGTAGTTTGAATAATTACAGTAACCTCCCTTACTTTACCTGACAATGTCAAGATTCCCCCAAATCGTCAATTTTGCACAAACAACGTTACTTTTCTATATAAAATGACCATATTACCCTTTTATTTAAGCGCAAAAAGATAAAAATACCCTTGATTGTCAACCATATTCAACTTTCTTTTTTTAAAAAAAAAATTTTGGTTGCATTTGGTAGTGCTTTCTAACTATGATTTAAGAGTAGAAGTTGTATTTTGAGCTTGTGAGTTTTGAAATTATTATTTGAGTATGAAAAATTTGTTTGGCAAAAGAGTTTTGAAAAGAATTTTGAATTGAGTAAGGAATTTTTGATGTGACATATGATATTTGATACAAAAACTTACAACTTATAACCAAACATATAACTCAAAAATCTATTAAAACACATAAAAAAAATTTAAAATCTAGAAAATATTTTTTTCGAATATGTAAAAATTAACATATGTCAATTGCAAAAAAAATAAAAAAATTACACTGTTCCGGTCAACCGGCTGGACGAGACAACCAGTTAGGCCAAATTTGATAATCGCGCCCGAGACAGAGTTTTCTGCAGAGTTTTCTCTTTGTTGTGGAAATACAATTTGAAAGTTGTATCTAAACATGAAGTTAGAATGTGTGGGTAGAATTATATTTTGGAAATCATTCCAAACGCAACCTTTGTTTTTCGTTTTTGTTCTCTCTCGTCAGATCAAAACAAGGTGATCAGATAGAGAAGCTCCACATCACTGGCGACATTAGGACATCTTCTTTCTCTTCTCTTTTCCGTCGTCTGTCGTTTATATCCTCCACATCCACCTTTTCTCCTTATTCTTCCTTCATCGTTTGCCACCCACTTTTCTTCTCTTCCTTTTCTTCTTCTTCTTCTTCTTTCAAAACCCTAATCCTAGATATATGGTTTTGAGTGTGGTGGTGGGCAGTGATGGAAACAATGTTGGGTCACAATCTGGGTTTGGGGCAGTTGGTTGCAATATGGATTGTGATCAGATAAAAAAAAAAAAAAAAACAGAGAATTGAATCAATATATATCTCTCTCACACACATGTGTATATATATATATGTTTGTTTGAATTTAAAAAAAAAAAAACTGAGAATTGAATCAATACATATCTCTCTCTCTCATACACACGCATATATATATATATATACATAAATATCTTACATATATATACCTTTATGTATATTTCTGATTTTGTGGGAGGTGCTGTAATGGTGAATGGGTTGCTACAATGGTGTTGCAGGAGTAGAAGGTAAATTAGAAGGCAGTGAAGCTGTAGAACTTTGATGAATTAGAAAGTAGTGAGGGTATTTTTGACATTTCATTATTTATAATGAGTGACATCAGCACTCTCTGTTAGATCTTTTAACGGCAGTCACGGTTTGAGAGAATTTTGACATTATTTATTTAAACCACATGGAAAGTCTCTGTATTTGTCAAAAACCTGAGGGAAAGTAAATGTAATTTACCCCAATAAATTTATTACATTATGTGAGAGGCCTATGTCACCAATCTAACACCAAATTAATAACAAAAATGTTAGAAATTTTAAAAGTTTTATTAAAATTTTTACGAAATATTTTATATAGGTGTGAGACTTACATGGGAATCATATGATATGAGTCTCACACCCATGTGAGACATTTGATAATTTTAATAGAATTTTAGAATCTCTAGCATTACTCAATTAATAAAATGGTAAATTATACAGACTTTTAGGATAATTATATTAATTTTTTTTTGATAAAATTAAATGTATCGAAACTAATGCTGGTGCGAAAATATAAAAATAAATAATATAAAATATATTTTTTATGTAAAAAAAAAATATTGTTTTATTTATATAATTAACAAATTAAATAATTTTAAAATGAGATTCTGGCTTCGTTTGGAAAGTGAGTTGGCTTTTTAATTTTTTTTGCTATTTTAGCTCGGAGCTAAATTGTTTTATTTGGTTGGATTTTTTGACTTTTTTTATTTTTGTGAGAAAAAAAATGAAATGATTATGGTTTGAATGTGATGTTTTAACTTTTTTTTGTGTGACTATTTTAGCATCCCAACCTCATTTTAGCCTATGCCAAACGAGGACTATATCTAGTTTATCTTATTATTTATTTATTTCTTTTTCTTATTCCCAATCTCATTTTAGCCTATGCCAAACGAGGACATTTTAACCTCATTTTATGTATTTTGATCATTGCACTATTGAATTCCACCACTCATAAATTTGTTTATTCTTCACTACTTTTGTAAATAATTGTCCTACTTTCCATTTTCTAGTAGTTCTCCCAAAAAATTACACAAATACTACAAGGTTTTATGACAATTACAAAAATATTTGGAATAGGATAGATTTTTCTCTTTTTCTCTTTTAAGTAGTGTTTCGATATAGATAAAGAAGTTAAAAGTGAAAGGAAAAGCAAAAGACATATAAATGTTTTTTTTTTCCCTTCAGTTTTCCTTTTTCTTCTGTAAACCTATCTTCAAATTCATTAGCAAAACATAACTAACTACCTCCAAAAGAACTAATCCATGACATTTGGGCACGTGAATCTACATGATTTATGGTCTCGTTTGGGAAGTGGCTATTTTAGTAGGCTATTTTAGTTTTTGGCTAATTTAAATATGTTAAAATTTTTGTGTTTGGAAAGATGATTGGATTTTTTTGTGGTTGGATGTGATGTTTGTGAGAGAAAAAGTGAAATGATTATGGGTTTGATGTGATATTTTGTCTTATTAGCTATTTTAGCCTATTTTGTCTTTTTGTGATTTTTAACCTAAATTTGGCTATTTTTTTTCTTCCCAAATATGTAATTTAACCTTCGTCTAGCATTGATTTTTTTAGTTAATTTTTTTGTATTGAAACTTTTTTAACCAAAAATCAATTGCCAAACGAAACTTTAATGTTAGATCAAAAAATAATAATAATAATTTAATGTTCTATAACACAACTCATGCTTATATAAAAAGTGGTGTGATACATATTAATTACTATATCAATTAGTATGCTAACATATATCATAGTATTATGATTTTTAAATTATAAATCACACCTATTATACAAGGTAAATGTTTTAGATCATAAATTTTATATTAAATAAATAATCAAATATTTTATCTGAGTGTGAGGTCTATACTTTTGTAAATCCCACACTCATGTAAAATATTTGATCATTTATAAGATTATAATATTTGTAATTAATTGAAGGCACCGTATGACATGCCACGTGTACTCTTCTAACACCTAAGAATTTTTCGCAATATGGAGCGCAATAAAGAAGAATTAAGGAATGTACGGTTGAGCCAATTCTGGAGGGACGAGCTTTATTTATTTATTTTTATCAGAAAAAAATTTTATTTACTGAAGCCAAATGAAACTTTAGAAAGAGGAATTCATCCCACTGATAAACTTATCTCAAATAAAGAAAAATCAAATCAAAAGCACGCCGAAGTAAAAACTATGGAAAATTTATATACACAATTTGTACTGCAAAGATGTAATTTATTAAGCTTATTTGACTATGTAATTTAGTATTTAAAATTGAATGTAATAAGTGTAAATTTATTAAGCTTATTATCACTTTAAAATTTAATTTCTCTAAAAATGGATGCTAATTTTTTTTTAAAATATATAGTAAATTTATTTAATTGTAAATGGATTTATAATAGTAGTGAGGTCATAATCATGATTTTTGTCGATATACTGGATTTGAATTTTTAATAATAAATTATATGATAAATTA